ACTTTGAAGTGAAAATCCCCCCCAAAAAAACCTCTTGAGTGAGCGGAATCGTGCTGAAAGAGGGATGCCTGTCTGACGCATTTACATAAATGGAGGAGGGAGGGAGAGAGAGAGACGACTGCAAACGGATACTTTGGAAGGACTCTATAAGCGTAGAAACCTGTTGTGGGAGATATCCATGAGCATCTAAGCGATTAAACAGCGCATAAGCAATTTTCAGAGCCGGGGAGAAAATGATTTTATATTGGAAATAAAGTGTTAAAATGGCGGACACTCTAAAAAAGTCAGCAAAAACAATTCCGAAAAGAAGAGAAGTGAATGTTATGGAACTCATAGTGGAAGCCACCAGCTTGCCGAGATAAATCAACAACTCGAGTCCCGGCAGCTGCAGTTGGCAATAATAGCAGAAAAAAACGGAACAGGGGGCTGTCAAAGCAAAAGAGATGGACACTAAAACTAACAGCAATCTCAAAGAGACAAGGAGGAAAAGCATGAGAGAAACAGAAAATTACAAGGACTTAATTCCTTTCCTGCAGGTGTCTTCAGAAAGTGTCATCTTAAACCCAGATGATAGAAAAGAGTTTGAATCTGCCCCCAAGATCAAGAAGCCTTTGAGATGCCACTGGGCCCCGAGGATGAGACCAAAGAGGAAGAGGCTGAAGATCGGCGGTTTATCCCTTCAGAGGTGGAGGAAGACTGGGCTGCAGAATTTCGAGTGAATGTCTAAGAAGCCATTATGTTCGCCACCCCTGGCATAGATGTAAAGGCAGAAGGACTCTGAAAAATTGCCTTTATGAAGCGAGCTGGAGGAGATGCTCTGGGGATCTTCTCATAACAAGTAATAAACTAACATATAAGCTTAGAAAGACAGGATCTCACAAAGTATATTGTTTATTAACAGCCTTTTTAGTATAGTGTGGGTTACTTTCCTTTCTCCCTAGTGTAGTCCCCCCCCTTTTTTCTTTGTAGTTTGTGTAGTATTATAAAAAAAATAAAAAAAATCCCCTCCGGGGGCTTTAAAAAAAAAGAAAAGAAAGAAACTGTTAAAATATAGTGATGTTGGTTAAGGTTAATGTATTTTTCCACTTTGCAAGTTGCTTTGGAACCTTTTTTGTTGAAAATCAAATAATAAAAATCGAAAATATATTAAAAATAGATGGGAAGAAGACAGCTAAGCCACACTAGCCAGCTTTTGGGTTTTATTTTTATTTCTTTGATTCATTTATAGCCTGCCTTTCTTCCCAATGGGACCACCAAGTGACTTACATTGTTTTCTTCTCCATTTTATCTTCACAACAACAAGAACCACCCCATTAGATATTTTAGTCTGAGAGAATGTGAGTAGCCCAACGTCAGCCAGCAAGCTTCAATGGCAGAATGGGCACCTGAGCCTGGGTTTCCCAGATACTAGCCCAACACTTTAACCACTACACCACACTCATCTTTGAAAGCACACTATGCAGCCCTGACCCAGACAGCCCTGGCAAGCTCAGTCTCATCAGATCTTGGAAGTCAAGCAGGGTCGACTCTGGCAAGTACTTGGATAGGAGACCTCCTTAGAATACCAGCAGTCAAGAGGTGGGGACAGGCTTTATTCAGCCACCTCTCTGAATACACTCCAGGCCCCCAGTAGGGGTCAGTCACCAGAGGTCACCACCACTTCCAGGCACACACATACTCACATGTGTGCGCACATACACATGTACATGCACATATGGAAAACAAAAAACCCACTATGCCTATTCTGTCTTGCTATCTGAAATGTGGTAATGGGGAGGGGGCAGTTGGTCAGCTTGCTATTCCTGGAGCATGACAGCTTGAATGGGCAGAACTGTGGTTCATCTCTCCCCCTGCTCCCATGCTAGCTTGTGGAGTGAGATGACCATCACACCAACTAGACGGAGCCTTTAAACAGCTGGGCAGGTACAGAGTGCTAGATGTATAGCAGGAGAATGACTCTAAGAGTTATTGCTGGCAGGCAGCAGGTATCCTGTTTGTTTTCAGCAGCCCCAAGGAGTGATGGGAAGGAGTGGTGTCACTAAGCAGGAACTTGGGACAGCTGTGGGGATTTTACAAACTCCTGGGAGCCAAGAAGGAGGAACAGGAGGGACTTGTGAGTCTTTGATATAACAAGTGCATTTCCTCCTTCCAGCTGCCAGAATAAATAGGAATTAAATAGTAAGGCACTGAAATAGCAGGTTATTGGACAGCAACACACATTACAGGAGGCAGCTAAACTGTACAGAAAAAGAACTTGATTCTTTCAAACAAATTTTCCCAGAGGATAAAGAAAAACTTAAGATAACCACAGCTCTTGAAACCCTGTTTTCTCCTCTGTGTAGCAGTGTTCTGTTAGTAAATCCAGGTTTTAATTATATACATTCTCTCTCACAACTACTGAGGAGAAACCTTAAACCCCAGAAAATAATATAAATATGAAAAAACAATAATTGCTTCCCTGAGATTTTTAATGAAACTATAACAATAGCAGAATGTAGGCTTCCCAGGTCCCTCCAGGCAACCGGTGGGAGATGGGGGGACCTACCAGTAGAAAGAAGGCCTAGACCACATCGCTGGTGACACACAGGAAGTTGTGTCATCACATCAGCAACTTCCAGGCCATGCTCTAGTATTTAGGCAAAATCTCTATGGAAAAACCAGCTTCTACCATAGAATTTTTGCCCGAATTCCAGAGCATTGCTCGGAAGTTGCTGGCATGATGACGTCACTTCCTGCGTGATGCTGGCAACATGGCCTAGGCAGCTGGGGCAGGGCTAGCAGCAGGAGACCCCTCGCCTCCACTGGGGGGTCTGGCAACCCTAGCAGAACCAGCACCAAAACAGGTTACTTGCACTGCTATCCTAAGCAGTATTACACCTTTCTGAGTCCAATGAAATCAAATAGCTTAGGAAGAGTAACTCTGCTGAGGATTACATTGTCTGCCTGCAGTCCTGAAGGCACTTCCCTGGGAGTAAGTTGCAATAAGCCACATGGTGCTGCCATACTGAGAGTACCTTCAGGAAGTTAAGTGACAATGGGTGGATGCGACTCTACAAGTTTCTACCCTTCAAAAGGGGGGGGGAGCCAGTTCCATCCCCCCGATGCAGAGTCTCATCCTTTCTTACAAAGAGCTAGGATACTCTCACTGACTGCAAGGGGTCCCCGCATAAACACCATTTAAGAGGCAATTTATAAGATGAAAGGGTTAGGGTGGAGAAGAGGATTTATACATGAAATCTACTACCAACTTTGACAGTACAATTCCTTCTTTTCCTCATATTAAACAAAGAGAGAATAGTTACAGGAAACAATTTTCCATATATCTGCACCTAGGGTTGCCAGCTCTGGGTTGGGAAATACCCAGAGATTTGGGGGGAGGGGGACCCTGGGGAGGGGGGAGGGTTAGGGAGGAGAGAGAACTCAGCAGGGTTATAATGCCATAGAGACCGCCCTCCAAAGCAGCCATTTTCTCCAGGCAAACTGATCTTGGACACCCGGAGATCAACTGTAATAGCAGGACATCTCCAGCTAATGGCAACCCTATCTGTACTTAATGGAAGATAAAAGGTTGGCAACCCTATCTGCATCTAATGGATGATAAAAATGTTTTTACAATTTGGTGGAATGAGAACAGATTACCAAATTAATGTGAGGTGACAGAGCTTACCCCAGGCTAGTTTGTCATCTCTGTATTTTATTTATTATAAAATATTTATTTAGATATTAAAGTATTTATATCCCATTTTCCTGCAAGGATTCACAGTTTAGAGGAATAAGCTAGACGTACTAATGCAGATTCCATACCCTGGTCCTGGCCAATAAAGCATACCCTCATTGGCATTATTTCATGTATAATTAGGGTTGCCAGGTCCTAGGCTCTCGCCAGCCAGGGGTGGGAGGGAGCTTTCCAGAAGTGGGAGGCCAGGGCAACGATTCCATGCTCAACATTCCCAATGTGATGACATCACACGAAAGTGAATGTCATCATGCCGGGGACGTCGCACAGCAACACTCTGGTATTTTGGCCAAAACTGTATGATTACCATAGAGTTTTGCCCAAAATACCAGAGCGCTTCCGTGTGACGATGTCATGTTGGAGACATCTCGCCAGATCATGACTGTTGGGGGTGGGGCTTCCCCCAGCAGCAGCTGGCTGGCAGTGGTCAGGAGCCCACAAAATCAAAAGCTCCCTGGGGGGTGGCAACCTGGGGGGTGGCAACCCTATGTATAATGCCTACACCTCCCAATAAAGTGAAGCACATTCCATTCCAGAACATTCTGCCACCCAACTAGCAAGCTGTCAGCTGTATACTTATGCTGTGAATACTGGATCTTTTTTGTGTCTACCTTTGGGGCTGTAGGGAGCATGGTATATTTTTTCTGCACTACATTTTATATTTGCCCCCAGTTGTGGGAGGTGAAAGTGCAATATAGGAGAAATAGTACTGAAATAATCAGTACTAGATGCACTGAGTAGCCCATATTTTATTGTTTGCTATGACTACATGCAACTTCTGTTATATTTCCCACCTTGTAAAACAGAAGGGCAAACCAATATATTACAGACCAACATAAAAATACAAAGAGAGTTTAATGTTCACTTTGTTTTGGCTGCTTTACTGTGTCAAGCTTTACAAAATCCACATCTGAAGCATGTTACAATGTAACTACCTGATGTAACCACAAATACATTAATTACGATTCAGTCAAACTAGATTCCAGTGCCAAAAGGGCATAAATATTACAGCTTCAATTCTTTTACTCACACACAAACCAAGCACATTCATAACAAACAAAATATCAATTGTACTACCTTACTTCTAACAGATTAAAGTACAAAATAGCACATACATTCATAATACTCTACGTTTTGGTAAACCTTTCTAAGCAGTTATATGAAATAGAATGTTTTAACACAAAAAGGCTTCATATTTTCTTTCCCTGCAATGTGCATTCTGAGAAAATGAAAAGGCAAGATTTCTCAAGAACACAATACTAACCTTCATTCCTGGGTAACATTTCTTTACCCTCTGGTGTTTTATCTGGCATCTCAGCTGAGATCAGCTTAATGAAACCTGAGGGACATAAAGAAAGGAAACTATTCTCATACAGAGGCAAGTACATTGGAGCAAAAGAACACTTTTCTACAAGTTTGGTATATGATTACAAACTATTTCCCCTCCAGCATGCCCCTCTTCCACCAAAAATGCCACTCCTGTCAACAATGGAGTAACACTGCTAACAAGTATCTTAACTGTATCTTAATCATATGATAATAATCTTGAGTGAAGTAGAGACAATTACTTTTTTTAAAAAACATAGAATTTATCTAGGTGTTAGAAGTTTGCAGACCAGAATGACTATTTATAGGGGCTCTGCTATGAAGTCTGGAAAACTGATAATGAAATAAAGTTAATATGCTGTACCAATCAGGGTTCTAAGAGGGCTAGAGCAATTTATTATTTGGGAATTTGAGCCAAACTGGTAACTTGAGCCGAAGTGCTCTGCAGTCATTCCAAAGCAAGACTGGCAACAGGCCAAGTTTCAAAGCTTGATGCAGCCCTTCAAAATCAAGTGTACTTTTAACTACCAAGTTAGATTCCCCAAGCATAGTCCAATGTAGCTGGAGCAATGCCACAGCACTATAGCTATCTTAGTCCTGTTAACAGACCAATTCATCTCTGAAGAATGGTTCCTAGATAAAAAAATTGTTAGTCCAGTGCACTTCTTTACTTAATCCATAACCCACCTTTCTCTCCAGTGGGAACTCCAAAGTGGCTTACATCATTTTTCTCTCCTCCATTTTATACTAGGTTTGCCAAGTCCCCCCGGCGACGGATTGGGCCCCGGGGGGAACCCCACCCCGGCGTGTGCGTCACCAGGAAGTGACGTTATGACGCCAGGCACGCTGGGGGTGGGGCCACGGTCATCCGAGGGAAAACTCTATGGAAAATTCTATGTGCGCGCTCCAGCCGCAGACTGGGACTCCCCCGGTAAGGAGATTTTTCAACTTGGCAACCCTATTTTATACTCACAACAACCCTATAAGGTAATTTAGGCAAAAGTGTATGACAGGCCCAAGGTCACCCAACAACCTTGGTCTCCCAGATCCTAGACTGACACTTTAACCACATTACCACACTGGCTCTCAGCTGATGCAAAAGCAGCAATCACTGAATTTAGTAGGACTTACTCCAAGTATGTTTGCACAGCACTGCATCCTTAGAGATAAAAGCCAATACTGAATCATCTCCACCATCCTAGCCATGTTAATAATATTGACAAAGTAAGTGAAAAACTACAGCATGTTGTATATATTTAGGATTGGAAATCTCTTTGTTGCATTTTCAAGTCTCTAGAGAAAGCATAGGAACATTTGAAACTGCACTTAGTATTTTCCCAGAAAAGTGAGTACACAGAGAACTACTCTGTTGGCCCCAGTCAAGAAAAGAGACCTTCTCAATTTTAATTAGATTCAAGTGGGTAGCTGTGTTGGTCTGAAGCAGCATGAAGAAGTGTGCGTGCACACGAAAGCTTATACCTTTGAATAAAACTTTGATGGTCTTAAAGGTGCCATTGGACTCAAACAGTGTTCCTTTCCTTAATTTTAATTAATCATTTAACACTGCTGTGAATGTGTCTATCTAAACAATCCTCCATCAGCACAAACTATCCACCATCAACCCTGCATGTATGACACTGACGGAATTTCCGGAAGTTATTTAGAAGTTCTACCTCAGGGTCCTCAACATGGTGTCCATGGGCACCATGGTGCCTGCCAACACTTTTCCTGGCACCCACCAAGTGGTTTTAGAGAGTGGATACGTCTAGATGAGGCTCCTGCCCATGTTGGGTTGCCAGCCCCCCCCCCCAGTTCCGGGCAGGGGTTCCCCCACTTCTGTGGGCTTCAATCCACCCCCGCCCAGCTGGTCACCAGGGAAGCCCTACCATCAAGCCCCACTTCCAAGAGCAACCACCTGCCCAGCCACCCATCTCCCTCCCCTCCTGCCGAATTTAAAGGGCTTCAGCTGATTGATGGGGACCAGCCAGGGGCCCTTTAAATCTAGCAAGAGGGAGGGAGATGGCCGGTTGCAGACCATATGCTCAGCTTACAAAAAGACCCTTTAAAGGGGTGGGGGCCACAGCGTGTGGGGCTGATTTCCCAGCCCTGTGCCACAGCCGCCACCCTGCTCACAAAAAGACCCAGCTGGTCAGTGGACCACATGGTCTCCATCGATCAGTTGAAGCCCTTTAAATTGGGCAGGAGGGGAGGGAGAGGGGTGGCCAGGCACGTGGTTGCTCTTGGGGACAGGGTTTGGGGGCATCCCCGCTCACCCCCAGAATGCCCCCCAAATCCCCCCTCTGACTGGCCATATAAATGAAAATAGCATTGTTTTGGGGGCAGCTAGCACTGCAATGTTTGTTCTATTCTCTCTCTCTCTTGCTCTCACTCCTCTTTTACCAGTGGTTTTTTTTTTTAGTACTCCTCTTCTCCTTTGCACTTGGGCTTCCTCTGTGGCTGGTTCAGCCTCCCACTTCTGCTATTTTGTGGTTGGTTTCACCTCCCATGGAGGCCATTTTGTGGCTGTGCCCACCACTTTGTCTCAGAATGCCAGAGGTGCCCACAGGCTCAAAAAGGTTATGGACACCTGTTCTGCATTAATACTGAAATTAATTAAATCAGAAAAAAACTATGCACCCTCCTATGTCTTTGTAAAATTTATATATGCTTAACAGCAGCTGGCTTAAGCGAATATGAGGGTCTAATTCTAAGGGCTTAGCAAGCATACTTTATCACTCAGTGCTCATTAAGGCATATCATATTGCTTGTGTTTATGTTATTTCATCAATTATACCATAGCAACATAATAAAGAGTGCTAGTTATTTATACAGCTTGACAGAAAGGGTCTTAGAGAAGCTAAATGCCTCCACAGAGATTGTAAAAATGATACGATAATTAAAAAAAAGGAAAACAGAAAATCACACAAAGAATTTGAAAACTATTTCATTAGAGGCAAGAGCCCAAGTGGTGTTCTTACGATAGGATTTGACACCAACCTCAGCAGGCTACAAACATTTTACAGTTTGATATTTAAAATGGATAGATTACTGCCCCATTAAACAAACCATAGCAGAATAAATTTTGCAGTGTAAGGTATAGAATGGGGAAAGGAGATAAACATTTAAAAACATAAATAAAATGATCTAGTAAGTGCCAGGAAATCTTAGACAATCATCTTCACCCTTGCCAACTTCCATGCCTAATTTTAAAGAGATGTAAAAACAACATCAAGTAGCAATTTGCTCAGACTTCAATTAATTTCCCTTGCCAACAACATACTCCTCAAATTTGAAAGCATAATGTTACCAGAAGCCCTCATAACACGTTGAAATAATTTATTTAAAACCCTAACTTCTGATACATCACCACAACACCAATCTATATTTCAGCACACATACTGTTGGTGCATTAAACTTGAATTCACCTTAATGACGTAATCCATAGCAAAGACCTCATATGCATACACAACAGAAAAGAAATGTGCAAAAGGGATCCCAATCGAAGTTGCAGAAAGAATAGCAAATGGCACTGGAGTATGTAGCCACTATGGCACAATCCACCAATCATGGAGCAACATGCTGATGATGTACATCTGAAAAGCAGACAGAAACAGACAGTTATAACATCGTGACACAGCAACACTTCCCTGATACCAGGCCACTGCTGCTCATATGTTGAACATGAAGGAAGGAACAAAGAGAACCCAGCATGCTCCAGTGGAAGGAACCCCGTGGCATGACCAGGAGAAACTGTGGAGTGAACATACTCTGCAAATGTGAGTTTGAATCTCCTCCTCCTGCCCCCGCAACCTTGTTCCCTTTTGCCAGACGCATACACAGGGAAGCATGCCTAGTCACTCCAACCTCACACGACTCTGTAAATGAAGGCTACCCTGACAAACCACCCAAGAGTTCTCTTGTGCAGGGGCTGAGATCTAGGGGTAGATGGGGCTCAGCAGCACCAACCGCTTGCCAGGAAAGGAGAATGCAGATACTGGGGTAGCAACAAGGGACACTCAACTGCACATTTACAAAAGACATCCCTGTCAACTCTCCATGTATAAAAAGAACCCCAGGAACCATGGGTTCAGATAACCACTAGGCAGACACAGTCAAGATAGCAAAGCTCATCTTTTGGTCAGCAACAGGTTGAACAGCAGCAAAACAAAAGTAAGAGGCTAGACTAAAACCCACAGCTCATACACTCCAGAGCACTTCTCTAATCTCACATGCACCGAAGAAGATGATGTCCAGAGGTCATTTCGGGGGGGGAACGCGGGGGATCGCAGATCCCCCGGGTGAGGTACGGGGGTGGGGCACATGACAAAGCCCCGCCCCCTGCTTCCGGCCGCCCCACTTCCAGCCCTCATTCAGCCAGGAGGAGGCAGGAGAAGAGGGAGGGTAAGTTGCTTCCTCCCTGCCTCTCCCCACCCCTGCCTGCCTGGGGCCAGGGAGGGCCTTCGCGGGGCTT